AAAAAAATTTCAACTTTCTTTCAATCTTTTATTGATACGCGTTTAAACGATGATGGCTTATAAACGATAGTGTGTGTGTATGGCTTATATGATTAGGTAAGCCAGATAAGACTGTTAAATAAGACATCTCTCTCTCTCTCTCACTCTCTTTCTCTCTCATAATTTTCACCTTTCCGAGCCATTTATACACTTGGTCATCGTGATACAGGAGACTCAAAATATATAAATTAATAATTCATTTCATTTTCGTTCTTCGCAAAAACAATATTGCCTACTTAATTGCTTCATTTTTTCGAAGAGAATATTGGAAGCTGAAGAAATTTGCCCTTCAGTAGTGCAACCAGTGTTCAATTCTCCCAATTGGTTTATTATTATTATTATTTTTAAAAAAATGTTTTTTGTAAATCAAATTTTTGGAAAAAAAAATTATTTCTAATTGCATTACTGAAGAAGACAAAAAAAGAGGTGGAAAATTGGAATAGAAGAAAAAGAGTAAAAAAAAAACATATATGGAGGAGAAAAATGAGTCGAGAAAGAATTTCTAAATGTCTATTATTGGCCATTAATTTCATATCTACATGTTATACAATGTTTCCTAAATTATAATCGAGTAGAAAGATTTGCGCTTTCGCACGCCTAAGTATCGGTCACCGTGTGGTTTATCTCGTTTCAGAACCACCGGTCCATTCGTCGTTTTTTTTTTTTTTTTTTGTTTTATATATATATATATATATATATCGAAGTAAATTCGAATCCGAGTTCCTTTATTTTATTTATATAATAATTATTATTATTTTGTTTGTTTTTTTCCAGATTCAGAAATTTTAAGTTTACGATTGTTTTTTTTTAATATTATTATTATAATAATTATTATTATTATTATTATTATTTTTATTATTATTATTATTATAATTATTATTATTATTATTATTATTAATATTATCATTATATACACAACTATCACACATGTCGCTCAGATTACACATACACTCTCAATTAAAAGAGAAAAAAAAAAAAAAAAAAAAAAAAAGAAGAAGAAAAAACAACAAATTTACTGTACACCGAGATCTGTCGGCCGTCGCGTTCTCGCCCACCGTTGAGAAAATTTTTGTTGGTTATGTTATATGTAAAATATTTTTTTTTTCTTTCAGTACAAATATTACTTTTTTTTTTTCTTAAAAATTAATATTTAGAAAATTATTTTTTTTTACACTACTAGTTTATGAAAGAGAATTTATTTTTTTGTGGGAGAAATTTTTTATCCCTGAGATATATAGTGGGTCGTATCTACAAATGGAAGGTATTGTATTTTTTTCAATTGTAGTTTTTTGAAAAAAATATTTTTTAAATAAAAAATTTTTTTTTTTATTGAAAAATTAATTTGTTTTTTTAAAAGAAAAATTGGGTAATTATTTAATTTTTTTCACAAAAACCTTTTTATTGTGGATACGGCCTTATGATTTATTTATGAATGTTCGAGCCAGTGCGACGATAAACGCGATGGCACCTTAAAAATAATACCGTGACGCTAAGAACTAACCAGATTTTTTAAAGGTCGTCATATATAGTTACCAGTTTTCCTATTTTCGCCCACTTTTTTTCCTACTATTAATTTTTTTTCTCTCTTTCTATAAAAAAAAACAATTTTTATTTCTTTTTTGAAAATGGCACATTATGCGAGACCTTTTTCTGGTGTAGAGCTCGTCACGTCACACAGCGGCGATTCTTGCGCCACTTCTATTTATTTATATATATATAGCAGAGTTCATGATTGCTAAAGCTTTACATGCGATTTAAAGGGTGAACATATAGTGGTATGAGGAAACATTTTTCTATTATCAAAGATATTTTTAATTTTTCTGCTAAAAATCATTTTCTTTTTTTTTTGAATTCAAATTATGTATTTATTTTCAAATGTGGCGCGCTCCGAAGAAAGGTATGTTTAAAAAGAATGGAGGCCCTAACATAACCTCAAAACTGAAAAATGGTTTTTAACGCAAACAAAACTGTAATTTTTAACTTTTTGTTTTCAGAACAGACAAAAATCACAATTTTTATTAGTTTTGTTTGTGTTAAAAAACAATTTTTTTTTTTGAGGTTACGTTAAAGGCCAACGCAGAATAGAAACCTAACCGGAATTATAATCGCAAACGCAACCGAAATAATGAGTTAGAGAGGGACAAACAATATGTCTATCCTTCTCTAACTCATTCTTCCGGTTGCAATTGCGGTTACGTTTCTATTCTTCTCAGGCCTTTAAGGCCTTCATTCTCGGTAAGAAATAAAAAATTTTAGGTGATGTTTTGAAATTTTTTTTTTTTTAATTTCAATGGAAATTATTAATATTTCAAACTTCGTTACATTCAAAATATTCAATGAAAATTTAATTCGATTTCATATAAATAAATTAAGACTTTAAATCCATGTAAAACTCGTAAACATAACCTATAATTCTTAGGTACTTTTCTTCGGAATGTGCCACAAATTATTTTCAAAAAAATCTTATATAATACAAAAATTGTGCCTTAAAATTTAGAAAAAAATAATATACACTACATTATATAAATTTTTTTTTTTTTTTTTATAAAAATTTGAAAAAATATATTTCAAAAACTGTTTAAAAATTCTATTAAATTAGAAAATTTTTTTTTTAATTTTGATTTTTAAATATTTTTTTTCCTTCAGTTTATTTGCGCACAATATTCACCCTTATATTTGTTCTGATAATACGCACGTTTCAATATTACATAAATTACTATCACAGTTTCGGAACAAAACTAACACTTTTTTTGAGAAAAAAAAAAAAATCTAACCTTGAATACTGCAGTAAAACAGTGCTTTTAACTTGTTATTTGTCACGACATTCATTGAATTACTCGTCAAAGATTAATTATGTACACGGCAAAAGTTGTTTTTAATATACATCCTGATATTACTATACTTAAGTGGAATAAAATTAACGAAGCTCGTTTAGAGAAAAATTATCTTCAAAGGAAAAAAAAAATAAAAAAAAAATTAAAGAAGAAAAATGATAATTAATGACTAGGTAAAAATAGTTAAATTTGAAATTTTGTTTTGAACAAAAAATAGTAAATAGTATAATTTTTGTTTTTCTTAAAAAAAATGCTTTGAACTTTCGTTATGATATCCCACTATGTAGATATCAGGATGGTATTTTATAGCGGGACAACGGTACACCAGTGGGACAACCAGTTTTCTCATATATCCTACTTCGGCCGGGAGTCTTGTTGCATAAAAGTGAATATACTTTTTGTTTTTTCAAAAGATAGAACTTTCTTATTTTCTTACTTTTTCATACATAAAATAAGTCAGTTTCAATTTTTTCCCAACCTTCTTTTTTCCTCCAATTGTTAAAATTGCTCAAAATTGAAAAGAAAATGGATGTAAAAGAATTTTTTTTCTATATTAACTGTTTTAATTTAAAGAAATACTTTTTCAATTTCAAAATTTTATTTAGAACAAAAAAATTTTTTTTCAAATCAAATAAAACATTAAATTAAATAAAACGTTTCTTTAATCCTAAATCAAAGAAGTTAGGTTAAAGATTTAGGATTAAAGAAACGTTTTAGTTAATTTAATGTTTTATTTGATTTAAAGAAAATTTTTTTGCTTCTAAATAAAACTGAAATAGTATTTCTTTAAATTTTTCCTAGAAAGAAAGATTTTTCTTTGTTGTTTAAAAAGTTATGTACAAAATATGTCGATAAAAAGGATCACTGTATTATTTTTCAAAAATGGCGGTAAATTCAAATATTAAAAGTTTGATATAAAATTTAAATGAAATTTCCTCTAAGAATTAATAAATTTAGAATATAAATTCTTTCTGCAAAATTCATTTACAGTTTCTTCTTTTTAATCAGTTAAAAAAAATTAAAAAATCATAAAAAAATTCTTTATGAAAAATTTCATTTTGGAATTTAATTTCTTGAATTTTTTTTTTATTCTTGTCTTTGATATAAAGTCAATTACGTAATATTGGAGAAAAGTTTGATTTTCACGAAAAAGTAAAGAAAAAAAAAAAAAAAAAAAAAAATGAGAAAAGACAGTCTCAATAAATTTTGTTGCCAGTTTATGTACCGGTTTCCCTCATAATTTAACTTGTGTGTATATACGTGTACAGATCGTAACTTCGAGTCGATTCGATTTATCGCGGCACCCATACCCACAAGGCACTTCAGTCTATCGATAAAATGAAAGGTCGATGCGACAAAAAGCGACGACGCGATCCACCCCGTCGATGTGCTTCTTGATTCACAGCTGCGCTTATACTTGTATTTGAGGTACTTACAGACAAGTTACTCCCAGTAATTCGTTACTGAAAGTCGTTGTACAATGAATGATATGATTTTCAACAAGATGACAATTATTAATATTATTATTATTATTATATACTTTTTTTTGTTTGTAAAAATGTTCATGTCGATATGAAATTTAGAAAATATGCTCCTTTATGTATATATATATATATAATATATATAATGCACACGACGATATGTTAAATTTTCAAATACAATTTTTTTTTTACATTCATAAAAATTTATATATAATTTCGTTCAGTTCTAAAGTAAAATTTTTTGAATTAGGCAAAATTTTTTGGTAAAATTAAAGAAATTTTGCTTAATTCAAATATATGTTGGATAAAAATAATAATATTGAACGTGTTACAAGAAATTAAATGTTTGGTTTGGAAAAGAAAATTTATTTTATTCAAATAATCGTTTACTTGGCTATTATAAAATAAATATTTATTTCAATTAAATATAAATTTTATTTCAAATAAATAAATTGCATTTGAACCGCAAATATAATTTTTATTTGCATTAAATAAATTATATTTAAATCAATAATTTTTCTATTTGCAATTCCATTTGAATTACCAAAATTTAAATAATAATTATTTAATGCAAATAAATATTTATTTAATAATAGTCAATTAATCGATTTTTTTTCCCATGTTTGCTTTTTCAATATGAAATTGTTAAAAATTTTGATAAATTAATTTTATCCATCATATAGAAAGTTGAAAAAAAAAATAATAATGAAGAGATGATTATGTTGTAAAGGGGATGTGAAAAAAAAATTTTTTTTTTCTTTTTTTGTCGTCGTCGCTGTCGTCAGTATATTATTGTGATCAAAAGACTATGAGCAGCCACAACGTTCGACTACCATTCCTGGCAATCGTGAAAAAACAATTTGATACTCATTATCGAAGTAAAGCATTGTGATTTCTGAGAGCTTCCTCGGCGCACAACATGGTCCCGTGTTATTTGGAGGCTCGGCAAGGCTCACTATGTGCGTGTTTGGATATGCAGGCAAAAAAGCCATGGGACAGTCCCCCGAACAATAGTTTGCATCGTATCTGCAAAAAAAAAAAACCAAACACATTTTCTTCTTTATTGTTATTTAAATTCAAACAAGCAAAAAAAAAAATACTAATTTGATGCAAAATTAAAAATATTTTGAAATTAGGGATGCAATTTAATTTAACTTTGAATTTCCCTGACTTTCAATTTCACTTAACTTTGATTTTGAATTTAAATTTCACTTTTATTTTAATTTTTACTTTTAAAAGAAATTTTTCACTATAAAAAGTGAAAGATATGGTAATTATTTTATAATTTGGAAATTTTTCAAAATGATAATTTATAAATTATAATATAAATTTTTAAAAAAATTATCACAAAAATATATTTTTATTACTAAATAATATTAGCGAAATAATTCATAGCGTACGATAAATGGGCTTCTAACAATAAGTAGAAGAAACTATTTAACAACTGGCATCAGTAGAAAAGGACAGTCAATTTCAGACACAAATGTATAAACTACTTTTCTATGTATATACCTATATATATATCACTAAATAGCATAAAGCCTCGAACTTGAATAAATCTATTTGCAAACATAACTCAATATTTTTTTTTTTTTTTAAATATTGTTCCGCAAATAAAATTTTCAATTTTTATTTTTAAATAAATAATTCAAAAAATTTTGTTATTTTAAACTAGGTAATTGTTATTTTAAGAAAAGTCAACAAAAAATTTTTTTCTATAATTTGTTTTAAATGTTACAAATCATATAAATTTCGATTATTATTCATTCAGTAAAAATCTTATTCACTATAAAGTATTCACAACGTTAATTCTTACTATTATTATTCTTTTTATCATTCGATATCAAGTGGACGCATTTTCTGCGATATTATAGCATCGAGTAACATAAGATATATATATATGTATAAATTCTGTGACGTAAATCGATTTTATTTCATTCTTTTGTTATTTTTTAATACGAAAATGATGCAAATTTCAAAAAAATACCTAATGAAATAAAAATTATCACATTTGATGTAGAATACACCCAGAGAAATGATATATTTGTCTCACAGACTAATAAATATTTATTTGATGCAAATAAATTTTTATTTGATTTAAATAAAAAATTTTATTTACGCCAAATAAATAGGTTAGTAGGCTGTGAGATAAATATACGTTTATTTAACTCAAATATATTATATTTAGTTCAAATAAAACATTGATCTGAGTGTATATTGGATTACTTGACTATTATCAAATAAATATTTATTTAACGTAAGTAAATTGTATTTGAACCAAATATAATTTTTCTATTTGCAACAAATACCATTTAGTTAACTTAAAGAATTATTATTTGATACAAATAAATATTTATTTGATAATAGTCAAGTAACCGATTATTTGAATCAAATGAATGTTTTCAGTGTGTGAAGAATTTGTCTTTCAATAGTTAAAAGAGACATAGGATCACTAAAATTTAAAAAAATCCAAAATGAAAATTTTGAAACTAAAATCAAAAATTTTAAAATTATATTCAAAAAAAATTTTCGTATAATAATTAGTTAATAAAATTATTGTTTTACTGTATTTATAATATTTTTTATATTTATGGAATTTAAATAAGCGCGGTTTTTACTACCAATCACAAGTTTATTGTGGCGCAAGCGCAGTTAGGTATTGTGACCGCCGTTGGGATCACCGCGCATGCGTTATTAAACAAGGAACGAAAGAACGCTACCTGTCTCTTTCCAACGCATTAAGCAATTTTTTTCCTAACATTTTCAAATTCTTTCCAATTGAATCAATTAACTCAGTGCAATAATAATAATTATTATTTTGAAATTTCTCTTACTTTTTAGGCGCAATTATCCAATCCCAGCCGAATTTCTCAAAGTCAACGGTGAGTTTATAACGACAGCACCTTGATTCTTGACTTGCTTCGTCGCAATTGAGACCAACGTTCCTCTTGATTCTACCACCTCTTCGTGAATCGAGTTCCTGCGTTTGAACCTCCAAATAGGGGGCATTTTCCGCGGCAGGATTTGTTTCCACGGGTTTATAATTCCTCCTGTGATTACCGCCACCGCCACCACCAATTTTCAATGCAACACCAAGATTATCCCTCGGATGTTTAAACCATTCGGCGACCATGCGTCTAAGTTCAATTGTCACCCATTTGCCACGTCTACCAATTGGCCTCGAGTATTTTGTCGTTAATGGTGGACCCAATAGTGGTCCACCTGTCTCAGTTGCACCACGTAATATTCTTTGGAGTGTTATCGTAACTGGAGCATCAATATCCAAATCAATTTCCGTCTCACAATCATCGCGCGGCTCCGTTGTACCATAAATCCATAACGAAAGTTCCGCCCTTGTAACACGATGCTGAATTACTTTATCGGAAAATTTAAAGTACAATACATCCAAACTACCCTTTGAATGCCTTAGCCTCTGATCTGAAAAATTAAAAAATAATTTCATATTGTTAGTTATTGAATATTGAAAATTTTTTTTATCAAATTATAATATTATTCAAGTTACGTTGGTGAAGTTTGCAACGATCAACACATAGAAAAAATAATTCTTAATTTAAATATATAGAAATCTATTATATGGAAAATATCCATTACTTTCATTTAAAAATATTATTTCTTTGAATGAAAATTATAGTCGATTTAAACATAAAGGTGCTTTTATACCTCTTAATTTCGATCAGATGAACATTTTTTCTGGACCGTGAAAATGCAAGTCAATGAATGTGATCAAAAAATACGTGAAAATGGAATTTTTGTAGAACCAATCACATTTAGTGACATGCATTTTCACGATCCAGAAAAAATGTTCAACTGATCGAAATTAAGAGGTATAAAAGCACCTTAAGGGTTAGTTTAGAATCGGCTCATGTAAATTTTAATTGGAATTTCAGTAGAACGTCCGAAATATGACATATCGATATTTTTGACAACTGCCCCACCCTGCTTTTTTCTATTCGATTGGTTTTCATTGGCCCCACTCGTTATTTGTCATAATTCTCGTCAACTACCGCACCCTGCTCTAGTGAAAATTTACTAACTTTTAATTTTAACAATAAAGTGACTAAATTTTCACTAGAGCAGGGTGCGGTAGTTGACCAAGAATTATGAAAAATGGTGAGTGGGAACAATGGAAACCAACAAGTGTGAGCCAATAAGAAAAATTTTATGTAAAGTTATCCAATCCTGTTGTACCTCTCAATATTTTGTTTTAGGTTGGTTTCCATTGTGTCCCCACTCGTCAAAATCCCCACTCGCCATGGGTCATAATGCTCGTCAACTACCGCACCCTGCTCTAGTGAAAATTTAGTAACTTTATAGTAACTTTTAATTTTCATACTAAAGTCACTAAATTTTCACTAGAGCAACTAAATTTAGTGACTTTTTTGTTAAAATTAAAAGTTACTATAAAGTTACTAAATTTTCACTAGAGCAGGGTGCGGTAGTTGACAAGAATTATGACAAATGTCTAGTGGGAACAATGGTAACCAACCTCTAGTTCGGCGCCATGTATAAAAAACCTACCATTCCCTGCAAAGTGTCACAATTTAGATATTCCACTCATTATTTTTTGTATGTATTGTCAATAAGATTTTAAGATTCTTAACCTAAAAAATTATTTTATTTAATCATCAAAATTTTTCTCTCAACCACATAAGGAAAAGTTTTTTTAATAAATTGATTCTTATAATAATGTTTTATAAAAATTTATTGATTTGCATTTACTGCACATTTTTTTTAAACAAAGTTTTTTTTATAATAATATTATTTAAAATTTTTACAGTAACCAAACGGGATAACTTGGACAATTTTCAAATTTACATGAATTGGCAATCAATTTTAGCTTCACAGGAATTTTCCAATCACCGACTACGAATAAGGTATTTATTTGTTAATTAATTTTATTCATTTTTTTAAATTGAATAATTATAATTATTAGAAATTTTATCATCGGAGTTTTTTTACACTTTATAATTTTGTAATACTTTTATTACTAAATAGTAACCAATAGTTTTGCAAAAGTAGTTTTGCCATGTTGGATCCGCCATTTTGAATTTTTTAACCCTTGCGTGCCTGAGCTGGATCCCTCGGACCCAGAGAATTTTGCTTTTTGATCTACTTCTATTTAAGAAATTTTTTTTCAAAATCGTTATCAAATTGGATAAGCTGATGTTATAACGTACATTTAAAAAAAGAAAGAGAATTTTTTTTATGTAAAACTCTTTCCAATACATTATTTTATAGCTCTTATGTACGTAGTTAACTGACAATGAGCTGAGGCCCTCGGTCCCAGACAACTTTTTTTTTCATGTAATTCAACATATTCGCTTGAAAATCGTTAATCGGAGGTTTTCGGGGTCGCTGATTACCAATCCGGTGTCCGTTTTTCAAAATTTAAAATGGTGGATCCAATATGACTAACGACTTTTGAAAAAACTTAATGTATTCATCTGAAAATAGTTACTCGGGGGTTTTCTGGGTCGCTGATTACGAATCCGGTGTCCGTTTTTCAAAATTTAAAATGGCGGCTCCAATATGACCAACGACTTTTGAAAAAACTTAACGTATTCATCTGAAAATAGTTACTCGGGGGTTTTCTGGGTCGCTGATTACGAATCCGGTGTCCGTTTTTCAAAATTTAAAATGGCGGCTCCAATATGACCAACGACTTTTGAAAAAACTTAACGTATTCATCTGAAAATAGTTACTCGGGGGTTTTCTGGGTCGCTGATTACGAATCCGGTGTCCGTTTTTCAAAATTCAAAATGGCCGATCCAATATGGCGGAAGAATTTTCAAAAAAATCGTTCGGTATCGCTTGAGAATCATTACTCAGGGATTTTTGGGGTCGCTGATTACAAATCTGATGTTACTTTTTTAAAATTCGAAATGGCGGAACCAATATGGCGGATATATTTTTTAAACTTTGACGGTTTTACTTGAAACTCGTTATTCAGGGGTTTTCAAGATCGCTAATTACGAATTTGATATTAGTAAATTATATTGATTTTTAATTTTCCTATTCACCATATTGGATCTGACATTTTAAATTTTGAAAAACTAACTTCAGATTCTAAATCAGCGATCCCAAAAACCCCCGAGTAACGATTTTCAAACAAATATGTTTAATTTTTGAAAATTCGTCCGCCATATTGGATCGGCTATTTTGAATTTTGAAAATCTGACTTTGGATTTATAATCAGCGAGTCCAAAAACCCATAAAACCACATTTTTCATTAAAATTATTGTTTAAGAAAAATGTATGCCAAAAAGGGTTAAGAGAAACAGCCATTGGTTTAAAAAAAAATACCAATATTTTCATTTTGCAATAACTTTTGTAAAATAAAAAATTTTTCTTCTTCGTTGAGTGGAATTATTTTGATGATCAAACAGAACATTTTTGCAACCTTTCAATTTAAAAAAATGCTGATTTCACGATTTTTGAACAATTAATTAAATTATATTTTTATTTAATGTTAATTAAGAATTTTTTTTTTTTTTTTTTTGATTGGCAAAATTCAAGTCTTACAATTAAAGTACGGTTTTAATTAAAAGCGAATGAAAAGTGTTTCGATTCAAAATGACATATGTTTGACTTACATAAAAGTTTAAATACACATATATATATATATATATATATAGTTTTACTTTAAATAACTTTTCCCGATGATTTATTGTCATACTAAAAAATTCACAAAAAGGAGTGCACTTGAGAAAGTGAGCCGTCAATTCTATCAATCTTTATTACAGTTACATACAAAGTAAAACGAAAGCGATTACTCGCCAACGCGGAAGTTATTTTGCAAGACACATAGTGGTATTGTAAATGATAAGTTGAGAAAGCAACGATCGTACACGAGGCAGTGTTTATAGACACTACACGTGGACTCCAAAAGTGGAATATTTACTGCTTAAACTTTTGCATGTCTCAATATATAAATAAAATATTTATATATACCAAGGAATTGCATCATATTTGTGTTTTCTCAAAAACGTCACATTGCTCTATATATAAAATAATTTCATTAATTGGTTAAAAAAAAAAAAATTTTTAATTATTTTTTGCAGAAAACATTTTTTTTTTATTATTCGAAATTATTTTCACTTTTATAGTTTCATATTTTATTAACAAATTGTAAAAAATTTATCAAATTAAATAAAAATTTTGAAGTATTTTTAAAAGGTCATTTCAAAATTATGCATAAAAATGTACGTAACATGTTTTTATAGCACACACGATATACATCTGGTCCCAGAAATCTAATGGCAAAAAATGTCATCTCAATTAATTTTTTTTTTGCAACGAAAAAAAATAGCGAAATTTCTATTAGAGATTTTTTATCTAAATATCCTTCACGAAATGATTTCTAAAATTAGCCTCAAGAAATTAATCAACGGTTTTTTTTTTTCTATTAAATTGTCAAGGCTCAAACAGGATTTATTTCCTTTTACATTTTGTTTTATTACCTTTACTCCTGGTGTTCTAATTTCGTATTTAAAAAAAAAAATTTGAAAATAATAATGTTCTAAATGTCACTAAATATATAGTTTATTTGATTTTTTTTCCTTTTAGAATGTAAGATTTCATAAATTGTACACTGATGTAATTTTTTTTTTTGTGTATTATCACTACCGCAAAGACAATATTGCGGTGATACAACTACTACTAGTAGTATTTTATACCTACATGACATTAGAGAATCTAATTCCCGCAATAGGATATCAGAAGCAATCTGTGCCTATTAATATTAAATATATTTATTATATATGTGAAATACAAAACATTTTATAAGTTTGTAATAAAGAAACATGAGAGTTATAATTGTCAGATATACAACAATGTATAAATAGCTCATAGAAAATTTTTTCAATTAATTTAAAAATCAAATTAATTTTTTGCATTTTTTCAAATTTTCGCGCTATTGTTTTAGTTTATGGTGGTGGCGTTACTGTGTTCTTTTAGGTTACATTTGTTTGGTTTGTCCCCAGTCGCCATTTGTCATAATTCTCGTCAACTACCGCACTCTGCTCTGGTAAAAATTTAGTAACTTTATAGTAACTTTGAATTTTAACCATAAAGTCACTAAATTTTTACTAGAGCAGGGTGCGATAGTTGACGAGAATTATGATAAATAGCGAGTGGGGACAATGAAAACCAACATTTATTGTTAAAATGAAAAGTTACTATAAAGTTACTAAATTTTCACTAGAGCAGAGTGCGGTAGTTGACTTGTGTCAATTAACACATGTGCATTTAACCTAAAATTTTCAGGAAATATTTTATAACAAATAAACATTTAAATTTTTTTATGAAAATAAAAAAAAACTGGATAAATTTTTTTCACGAAAAACTAAAACATATAAATAAAAGATGAAAGTACTATTTTTATGCAATTTAATAAATTTCCCGCCTCTGAATTGAAT